TGAGTCACACCCTCTCTTGTCAATAGAGATAATGGTTATATAGAAATAATCGATTCGAGGAATGTTGGTCGAGGAAAATGTTAATTATACGGCAACAGGAAGTAGTAATCTATTCCATTGAATTGTTGAGCTAGCTATTCTGATTTCGTTCAGAAACTATGTCCTCCTCTAGACAGATCTTTGCTCTAGATATTAATTGTTATTTTTCTCTTTTTCGTTTGAAGTAAAAACGGTTGACGAGTAAAAATTTTTGATCGTCAACCTGGATGATAGAGTCCATCACCCCGATGGAACGGGGGAACCATTCTTATTCGAGATGATTCAGGTATGATTCAGGTATGATGATCGGCTCTTCTATCTATTCCGTTTCAAACGCTATGAACTTGAAAAAAATGTCGCGGATGTCCTTCCTTATTGCGGGATTATTGTGGCGAAGAGATATTAGCAGCTTGCCATTGTCGCGCGAGGATCAGAGGGGATGAAGAGGGGTTGACACAATGCGGGCAGGTGAAAAAATATTGGGATCGAATCGGCCCCAATACAAGAAATTACATGCAGATCGGACTTTTCCTCTCCTGTTTGCCTTTCGCATTAACTTAATAAACGGGAGAGAATCGTAAATTTGGGCCAAATGATACGATTGGCCGGAAGAAATGAAGGGCCGGAGGGTAAGAAAAGAAGGAAGGAAAAAGTATAAATGGTAGAGGAGGGATGAAAATTTAGAAAAATAAGCTCGTCATAACTGTCCCTCCCTTGGCCTGGATGAAATGTTCTCGATATACCTTTTAATATTATCGATCGGCAATGCGACCAAGCACGTCAAAGGTAATTGGACAATGCACCGATCCATATCGAGGCTGCATTGTATCGACAATGGTGCTGGCCGATTGAGAGCTCTCGAGTGTCGCCTGCGATTCGATATCAGTATTCCTGTCGCATATTTGCGGCCGCACAAAGAGATGGCCGAGTATATTAAACCTCCGTGTGGCCATCGTCCAATTCGAGCACGACAATAATAACGTTTCTTTTTTCTATTTCTTCTTTTTTTTTTTTGTTATATACATATATATATATAAAAGCTATTCTTATCACGAGTGGAAAAATGCGGCTGCCGTTATAAAACGGCTCCCCAAAGCGAGAGTCGGAGGAGAGAAGAGAAAAAGGGAAAAGAGACGGTGCCAAAAATATCCGATGCGTAGTTCGCACGAACGAACGTCGTGCCGTTTCGATTCGGGCGCGTTTTCCAGCTAGAATAAAATCTTTATCCTCCTGTCAACCAAAACGTTCGGATGGAAGAATCTCGAAATTTTTCTCACTTAAAACAATTATCCTCTCGTTCGTTCGAAAGAAAGCTTAGCCGATTTAATCGATCTTTAACGACAGCTAGAGTTACGTCGATCGTCCGATATTAATCCATAGGGAATCGATACGGTGTCTAACTACCTTCTAATTGACTCAAGTGTCGCTCCGGGGAACACCTAAGCCTACCTCGCTGTTTAACCTGACTCTACCGTTGATCGATACTCGCGTGGACGCGTGCTGGACACGCACGGTTTAAAACGTGGCTTCGCAACATCTCGCAATCGGGTGGAGAAAATCTGCACGAGACGGATCCCTGAGTCACGATACAGATACAGATTATATATTTACGCTTGCAACACGATCCATTTAATAAACTGCGTGTGTAAAACGGTTACGAGATGGTCGGAGAAACAGAAGCACCTTGGAAAAGTAATAGTCGTTGCAACGCGGTTTAATTTCGCGCCAACTCGTTCTGCGTGTGTGTGTGTCGACTCGAACGTGACACAATACGAAATTATTCGCGATGGAAAGATACTCGAGATGGAAGATAGGATTAATCGTGTAAGGATGGATAATAAGGAGATAAGAGAGGAGATATTTCTTTTTTTCTTTTCTTCGAGGAGGGGGAGATCGGTGTGTGAGAAGTCTCGTGCGCGGCGTGTTGTCACCGCAACAGGAACGCGCGGTTGGACGCGATAAGAGGCGAGTAAAACGTGCGGTTTTGCGCGAGTTGTTAAGCGTTGGGCCGCGTTTACTTTCACCTTTGTGGAAACCTTGTGCGCCGCACCCTGTCTTTACGGATCAATTATAATACGTCGATTAAACCGTCTCGAAATTCCGAAATCTGATCGTGGCGGCCCAAGATGCGTTAACACAAGATTCTTGAATCTCACAGTGGATTCCATCGGAATAAAAGTTGTTCGAAAAAAAAAGAAGTTATCGCGTTGATCGCGAGAGATGGGTTGGTGATCAAGATCGATACGAAAGATAAGTCATAAGTTGCGAATGCGCGAACGAAAGAGATGTACACGGAATTTTCCATAAACAAGAAAATGAAATTCATACGCGTTCTATTAACTGGATATATCCCGGGACAAACGGGATACAAATTTAGACGTCCGCTTACGCGTCGTCTGCGCACTCGTTAAGTCGCTCTCGCGACTTTTCCAAATAATTTCTTCTCCACCCTCTCGTCGCGTGGAAACAGGTGAGTCAGACAGGATCTTGTTCAGGCCCTCGTTAATAAACCCTGAATGAAACCTTGCAGGTTTTCTTTCTTTTTTTTTTTTATCCTCGAGCATTCCTTTCGAATTTTCGCGATAGGATAGGATTTGACGAATTTCAGGAATCTCGTCGGTTATCTTAGGAAGAACTTTGTAACATCCTGCGACAACGGGAAAGTTTTCATACGATAAGTGGAGAAAGAAGAGTGCTAGCTCTTCCTGCCCATATGTATTTTTACTCCCGTTGACTCATCGTTGAATTGCAAAAGGTTGGCTCGGAACAACCGATTCGGTGCTTTGCCTCCTCTCCTCATCAGATTGTGGAAAAAAATTCTACAGACCTGGAATAATAAATTTCCCGTATTGTTCCGTCTCGAAGATCGTAATCGTGGGACGTAGCTGAAACGTAGCGATTGCACGCTTGTTACTGCTTTCACTAGCCGCTCGTACATTAAATTCGTTACGGAGGATCCGTGATATTACGAAAAGAGCATCGGTATGCGGTTTAACGAACATTTACGTCTCATTATTCGTAATTCTATTCAATTTCCTTGATAGGCGGAGGATGAAATTACGGAAATTCAGCAGGATGAGACTACTATGCACCAATTCGCATCAAAATCTTTTCAAAATAAAGAACGATATAATTCGATCTTTTGCTCCAGAAAAATAATCGCCACGATGTGCGCGCCTATTTAACGTTATTGCATAGAATATATTATATATGCAAACGTATATATATGTATTATATTCGAAGAAAATAACTGGTACGCTATCGCAAACGCGGTAGTTGTCAAACGAAGTCACTGACACAAACTCAATAGCGCCGATGAACTCTGACACAGGCGGTACGTGACTAACCGAAGAATTAATCAGCGAGCCACAAATCTTTATTTAACTTATGCGGAAAAGATTTAATGCAGGCTCAAAGGTGTTGATGCAATTTCTCCACGGCGTATGATGAACCCACGCATCTCCCCCTCTTTCGACGCTTGTCTTCTCGCGAATAAATCGAGCCGCGACGACGACACTCGAAAACGGCTGGACGATGAATCATTGCGTTGACTAATTGAATTGTAATCAACGGAATGCATGAACGATGTGTTTTCGAGTTAAAAGTATTTTCGCATCGTTAATATTTATGCAAATTAACCTGTTCGCGTACGATATTTCAATCAGATTCATCGAATGCAAGTATGTAATCGTTTTACATTTTTGAATTTTTTAAAAGTTTTACACATTCATGATAGACAATGGATAAATTTCGATTACCTATATCACTTTCCTGTCGTTTCCAACGTTACCGATTCAGGATGAAATAAAAGATTACTGCATTACGAATAAAAAACAAAATTGGATTAGTATATTATTTATTCCCTTTTCTCTTTGCATGAAAACGATAAATTTTAATGAATTAATAAAAATAATGAATTATTTTTAAATTTAATAAATCGTAATGTTAATAAATCATATATATATATAATGTTAAGAAATTATAAAATTAATGAAATATAAATAGAATATTAAAAATTATAATATTTAAATAATAATATATATTCTACGAGTTAATATTTTATTATTAATATATCTATCAGGAACGCTCGCCTTTACCCGCTGAGCGAATTACCGAGTGGGAAAAGGTATGAGTCAGTTTTATTTTGGCCGTTACACTGTTTAGACGTGTCGGGATTACGTGTGTTTGTTTTCGTGTATAATTTAAGGTTACGTACGAATTTCGTGTTCAAAATATTACGCATTTAATCGTGATTCTTTAAAATACATTTATTTATCAGTGTTTGTAATATTTTCATTTATTTATCAGTGTTTTAAATACGTTCTTTCACAAGTATAACATTGTGGCAACAATTTCGCGCGGTTTTATTCGCGAGTGCCAGTGTATTTCGCCATTTTTATGGACGGATGAGAAACTGCATCGTCACTGTGCTATCTACGAACAGTAAGTCGCATGCTCTTTACCCGGATGATTATTTCACATTGTTATAGTTACAAAATTATCATCTCTTTCTTCAATTTCTTCAATTTGTACTTTATTTTTAATTATGTCGTTCCACTTCTTGTTATAGATGTTTTATTACTTTCACATCTTATATGACGATGTGCACAATAAATTCTCTAGAGTGGACCATAAAACCATCAATCGTAATATTCTTCGCATCAATGGTGAGTTGTATATATTTTTATTATTCTTCTGCTTACTCTACTGGTTATATCGATAAAAAGTCCGAATCGATATGAATGATTGATAATATATCTAGAATTTTACGAGCATAGTGATTACGGGTATTTATTTAATCCATGAATAGTAATTTTGTTTTGCGTTTTATTTATTACTTCAGATTAGAGCTTCTTACATATTGTATTTCTAAATATTAATAATAAAAAGCGTTCGTTTTTTTATCTTTTATTTATTAAATAATTTGGAATATAATGGTAATAGTTTTATTTTTTTCTGTTCAAAATATATTAAATTTTATATACAAAAAGATATTTCACGACAGACAGATTTTAGAATCAAGTTTTAAATATTATTTTTGCATATTTAAAAATATGTTCTGATGAAGAAATCGATTGAAGTTATTTCTACTAATATTTAGATTATTTAAGTTTTCTTTTCTAAATATATTTTTTGTTGATTATTAACTCTTTTTATATTTTAAATAAATGAAGTTTTCTTTTTAATTTCGATTTAATTCTTTCTATATCTGTTGCTAGGATTTGTGTTTAATTAGAAAATTTCGAGGTTAGGTTTAAATTTTAGTGAACGTGCATTTAAAAAAAGAAGAAGATATAAATAAAAGAGATCTTTAGCAAATTATTATAGAAAAATTACTTGTTTTTTCTTTTCTTAAGATTCAAGAATGGGAAATCATTTTTGTTACAATTTGTTCGTTTAATAATGTAGTAGCCGATACGTTCCGACGGCTCATCATCATTCGAAATGAATAAATTGCGATCTGAATTAAAATCTCGAAGGTTAATTTCGGTTTGAAATTATCATATGATAGCTAAGTTTTTCTGTTTGCGATAAATAGCTAATTACTTAGAGATTACTTCTTTCCATCTAGTATCATTTTCAGTATAGGAATATTTTTACTTTATCGACAGAGCATAAAGAAGATTTTACCGACTATGTGACTTCCGTTGCATGTCTTCGACAAAAATACAAATTCTACGTAACATTAAAACTTTTTTTTAATTATTCAATCAAAACGTAGCATAATTTACGAATCTTATTGTTTCACACATTTAAATACTTTATTGCTACATTTCTTCTATCAATAACTCTATCCATCAAAAACGAAACAACAGAATATAAATTACTCGTCAGAAAAATAATTCTTTTTACATACAGTCATTATTGCTCGTAAAAACACACGTTCGCATTTTAATTCGCATTGTAATTTCTTCCTTAGCGCGATCATCTAGACGTTTACAAATTATACACCGAGTTTCTACCAGGCGTGGAATAAGATCCTTGTTGATTAATGCGAGCATTCCTACGAAATTCTCTCGTTGGCCTCCATCTAATTTCTGAATAGCTCCGCCCAGACATTGTTTCAACGGAAGGAAATCGATGCACGAGAGTCAAGAAATCCTCGTTCATTTTGTTCGGGTAATTAAACGTGGAAATCGGCTGTCGCGCGTAAAAATAGGACGTTGAAAACGCGCGTTTCCGCTCGCTCTGTTATCGCGTAAAAGATCAAAAGAAAAGAAAAAAAAAAAAAGAAAAGAAAAATCAATTGGCCAATTTCGCCTCGAGATTTAACGATCCACGAACGTTAGGGAGTCGAACGTAGACGGATATATTGGTCAAGGAAGCGAAGTCGTTCCCTGCCCTGCGTATAAAATCCCCCTCCTCCCCCCTCCCCTCCCGATGATGCATATTCGAACGAATATGAAATGCCCGGTTTCGCGCATCGAATGATATAAATAACGAGAAGAGGCGGATGCCTGGTGCGCAACATCGTTACATAACGCGATTTAACGGTCAAGAAGAGCGTGTCGACGGTGTTTCCGGTGTCTTTCGGCCAGCCGGAAACCGCAGACCAAGTGCACCAAGTCGCGGAACGAAAATTACAAGCATATACCTTTTATAAGCAGCCCTGACTGATGATAGTGGGGGTGGCGCAATGCGGCTACTCTGAATTGCATCCTCAAGAACGGATAAACAGGTCGCTGGAGATTTCCCCGTACCTTCGTTCACGAAGAAATGGTCATCCTTGAGTCAACCATACGGGATTGAGTCATACCTCCACGGATCGTTTCCTAATTAAATGCGACGACGCTCGTTTCGAAGAATCGAAAGAGACGTCGATAGAGGGATGGTATTTCGTCCTCCGTGAACGGAGAGGAAAATTCATCGAGACTCGAGAGTTGTACACATATTTCACGGCTTGATTCGAGTCGAATTGCGCCTCCATTTCCACCATTTCGCGAGGGAGGATGGTCTCATCGGTGGATGCATCGTCTCGTGTCACGGTTGAGCCGGAAAGAGAGTCTGGAAACGAGAGCTGAAGAGGTCTCCCCTTCAAGCCGGCTTCTTTCAGATGACGACCCGCGATATAAGGGAAAGAGGGAAATTCTGGCCCGGCTTTCGGGGCCACCTCGACGCGTATACACGTCATCGTCGCTCGAGAAAATCCTCGTTTAGATGCCGAGCTACCTGCCCTCTTCGAGCCTCGGTATCCACTCGACGCGCCTCTTCTTTCGTGCTTCAGAATCAGTCGACATAGAGTAAGCTTCCTTCTATATGCAGCCTGGACAGCCTTTCGTTAATTTATCGCTACTCCTTGCTAGAATAACCTTGCTTAACTCGTTACTGCGTTGTTGCGATGTTAATTAGCACAAAAAAAAAATATTCTTCAATCTCCAAAATTTTCCAAAATATCAACGGTTGAAATCGGAATACACGAACATCGTCATCGAACGATTTCGTTATTACGGAAAAATATTCCATTTGGAAAGTTTTCATCATCCAGATTCGCGACACGGAAAAATGTTTGTTTCTCTGTGGAAATCTCGAGGGAGGAGCGAGAAGGGGTCGGGAAGAAACGGGGGTAACAACGTGGCCGAATCTGTCAGCCTAGTTCTTTGATCTACCAAGTGTAATGGTACCAGCATTCAGTTGCAACGGCGTGAAAAGTCTCCCGTTCTCCATGCGCTGCTGGTATCCCCCTCCTCTCCCCCATCCTCCCCTCATGCCGCACAGCTTCGTTTCATCCTCCTACCTACCATGGTCCTGAATCCGTTTCTCTCGGTGAAACCAACCCCCACCATTGGATCACGGTGTATCGAACGGTCTATGACGTCATTGAACTTTCCGTGACGTCACGCTAGTGGTTCTCAACGTTTTGCGGGGGGAGAAAACGAGGTAACTTTCGTTACGTGTCATCGACCAAGCCTGTTTCGACGCAATGTTTCTTGTCACGCGATAATATATATAAATTATGTGGAAACGAAACGATCGAACGATCTCGATGAAATCGATCGATCGTGTCGAAAGGGGGGTGAGCACCTTGTAACGAAGGCATCAATTTCAGGAGATGAGCGTTGTCACCGGGACTATTAAGCCCAAGATTGATGCCCTATTGAGAGGCCACGGTCCCGGTGACAATGGGTTCGCGAAGAATTCACAAGGTTAAAAACGAAATATTCTGTTATTATTATTATTACTCGACTCGAGTTTTAATTAATCCTATTAATCCGAGCGAGAGACGGAAATGGGACAATGGGTTTTGACAAAAATTACATACACGTGCGAATTGGTTGGAGCGAAAGATACGAATTATGATATCCTGATGCAAATCACAGGGATCGCGATAACTCGGCTGTCATTACGCTCGTTATGCTCGATCGTTCTCATCGAATCGGGAACTCGAGTGGGTAGTCACACGTGTTTACCAGGAACGGAGGATGGTGGCGACCAACCAGTGCCACCAACCCCCTGAGGACCATTGATCTGACATTCCCCGCGGTGACGTCACGCTCATCCAGTAGAAACGGGTCAAACGTCACGAAAAATGGCTATGCTTCTGGAGGATGCTGGCCACGATTCAAGGATGGATATTTCCTTGGCCAATGGTGTTCCTCTGAAATGGAAAGACTAGCCTGGTGCTTCGCCTTCCTCCTCGATCGATCGATCGGTTTTCGAAACACGTCCGCGGAAAAATGCCGCGTAGCAAAAAAGTTGGAGGGAAAAGAAAAAATATATATATATATATATATATATAATATATATTTCTCGCCATATTTCCTTGCTCGTATGTCGCATTGTCAAAGTGTCTCTCTCCCCCCTAGGCGGATGAAGAGCGGAGATAAAGGGAAGGATGGTGCAGCGCACTCTGAAGAGATCCTTGCGGCAAGAGAGGACTAAATTGCTTGTTTCTGGGAGCGTGGTGCAAGGGAGCGGTAACACGTTGAATTTTCAGAGATATTATTACGTAATGACACTCTTTTACCCCTAGCTTAGGTGCACAAGAAGGCCTCCGCACTTTTGTTCGGAGGCCTCGTTATTTCGAGGGGACGTCAGAAACTCGTACTCGTTACCAGGCGTGCATTGAATCCGGCACACAAACTCCAGGGATTCTCGGATTTTCGACACACGGCCGCGCGCGCGATCTACCGTCCTTTTGTCCCTATTTTCCACTTTAATCCTCGAGTTCGGGTTAAAAGCAACCGGGCTGATGATACGGCGAAAGACAATGCGCCTGTTTTTTTATTGTTTTCTCTTTTTTCTTCTCTTCTTCTCTCTCTCTCTCTCTCTCTCTCTCTTTTCGTTTTTCTCTCTTTCATACCAATGTCGAATGGAATCAGCAAATATCAAAGCGACTCGCGATCTTCTGGACCGAATATGCGAGGGCGTATACCCACTCTGACCTTTTCGAGATCAACCCGGTTTTCTACAAATAATAAACGGGATAAAATCTGGTGTTGCGTTACGTTCCACGTTCCATAATGATTAAATGGATGATATCTGGGTGATTAAACCGTGCAACCTTTGAACATATTGTATATTGAATATAATAGAGAAATTTCTCTTCCGGATTTTCGTTCGGTTGGGATAGGATATTAGTTATTTGCATGGAACGAGATCAAAAGAAACGATACTGGAAAGGCAGCAACCAGTTCCCTTCCCAAACCTTTTCTCGCGCGAAATCATT